GAGAAGTACGAGCTTCCTATGAACTGAAGCTCCTGGACGAGGCGCAGTAAGAACCCAAAGCATTCTATGCATATATCAGGAGCAATATGAAAAACCTGGACCATCTGACAGCCTTAAAGGACAAAAATGACCAAATTGTGAACAATGGTCTTCTAAAAGCCGAGCTTCTTCCTGAGTTTTTCCAAACTGTCTATACCACGGAACCACTCCTTCAGTCCTGTTTTCTTCCACAGCCGCCAACCAACCACTTATAAGCACAGTATTTTTTACACCGCAGTTAGTTTTGACAGAGTTAAATAAACTGGATCCGGCCAAGTCACCTGGACAAGATGAGATCCCAGGTGTACTCCTACGTCAGCTAGCTAAAGAGTTAGCAGAACCACTCTGCATAATCTTCGAAAAATCGCTAGAAGCTGGCAAACTACCTGACACATGGAAGTTGGCAAACGCCGTACCTATATACAAGAGAAGATCACGGCTATGTTCCACCAACTCCCGCCGGTGAGTCTGGAGTGCATTTGTAACGAACTGATGGGAAACGTTAGTTAAAAAATCAATTGCATCACTCGATACATTCCGCTGTCACATCGCTTCAGTTCAACATAGCTTCTGCGAAAAGAGATCCTGCCTCACAAACCTTCTTACCTCACTCGAACATTGGTCAAAGGCCATGGATGAAGGACATCCAGTAGATGTCATTTACTTCGACTTCAGTAAGACGTTCGATTGCGTCCCACATAAGCGCCTCGTTTAAAAGTTGTCAGGAGTAAGGATAAGGGGAAATCTTCTGAAATGGATTCAAGATTTCTTAAACGGTCGTAGACAAAAAGCCATTGCGGACGACTACTGTTCAGAATGTGCACCTGTTACAAGTGGAGTCCCACAGGGGTCAGTTCTTTGACCGCTCCTATTCATTATCTGTTTAAATGACCTAGTACGGGAAGTGAAATCGGACATAGCGCTCTTTGCAGACGATCTTAAACTTTGGAGAGCGATAAAAGATAAACATGACGTCAAGATACTACAAGAGAACGTAGAGGATTTGCACGCATGGAGCGAGAAATGGTACATGAAATTCAACGTCAAAAATGTGCAGCAATGCACGTAGCATCAGCGGGGCGAAGAACAAATGCACCCTCGCGACAGTATCTCCTGGACAATCAACCACTTAAAGCCGTAGATGTGCAAAAAGATCTCGGTGTATTCACTAAGACGATTCAAGCGTCGCTACGCAGTGTTCTAAAGTCGCTGCACGGACAATGTCAGTCATGAGCGCGATACGTATAACGTTTATTCACTTTGGCAAAGTATACGGGATATTTGTGCGGCCGCACCTGGAATATGCGGTACAGACTTGGCGGCCGTGGTTTCGGAAGGATAAAGATATCCTTGAAGGTGTGCAACGGCGTCCTACAACGGCTGTTCATGGCCTCAAAAGTTTGACGTACGAGCAGCGCCTGACGGCCTTGAACCTCTATCCCCTCCACTACAGGCAGGATAGAGGTGGCCTCATAGCAACGTTACATCTGCTAAGAAGACTTAATCTGGATGTCGCCTTGGAGACATTTTTTGAAATGGCACCCAAGTCTAATCTCAGATGACATGATTATCAGCTTAAAAGGGAACTGTGCCACGCAAATCAATGTTCTCCTTTTTCTCGCAGAGGACAATTTTCCAATGGAACTCTTTGCCAGAGTATGTTGTTAATTCCCCTTCCGCGAGTGTGTTCAAGAGACAACTGGATACCTACCCGATGAAAGGCAACCGGAACTGCCGAAGTCCGATTTAACGGTCTACTGTAATGGCTATAAATATACGGCTAACATGATTTCAACAGATCCTTTTCTGTGCGTCAAACCTGACCCATATGGGAATTTTCACAGTCCGAATGTGCTGAGCAAAGGTTTTCACGATTATTTCGTGAATACCATACCCTTTTCGCATTTATGTTCCATTATCAGATTTGTGAATTCTCCTTACTAAAACTGCAAGCAAAATATTTGCAATTTAACTATTTTCCCTTGCATCTGTAACGTCTAAATCGAGTTTTCAGGGCTTCTGCCGTTTACTGCAAATATACTGACTGATACTGACTGACTGATACGAATTTGATGCTCATTTTATAAGAGGGCACTGAACACACACTAATAGTATTAACAATTCTACAGACATGATCAAAACACACATTCAGTTCGGATCGAGCAGGAGGTAGACAAAACTCTCGATTTTTTTCCGCCAACTGGGGTTATGTAGGAGAAAAAACCTGCAGCACGTGAAATGACAACAGTCGAGAACGGGAAAAGTTAGCACGAGTATAGCGGGATTTCGCAGACTCCAGTCCTTTTCATGGAATTAGGGCTCTGTACCAGACAACGATGCACGGGTGAACAGTTTCCCACCAGCGGCTGAAGAATTTACTCGCTCTGTGACGCAGTAAATGTCAGCACCACCCCCCTCGTGATAGTGTCAGCGAGAGGAATAAAAGGCCACGACATCCATAACTCCTGAAGACATATTCGGTGGACTCGGCACCCAGAAATTGTGGAAGTTTTTCCGAATGCAGAAAGTGAGTGGTAGCTAGTTTAAACAAAGAAGTACTTTGCAAAATCTTATGTTTCGTGGTGAACCATTTAAGATCAGGGTTACGTCGTAGAAAAGAACTGATGACATTCATCTGTACGTTCCAGAGGGAAAAGTAAGACCTTGGGGTTAAGATTAGCGTTGTGAGTGGCCAAAAGGCTTCAAAGTGGCAGGCGGATAAAAAATTCAGCCCTTGCCTCAACAAGAATTCTTTTTTCTAAACGGTGGAGCCGCAAACAGTTAAGGCTCGTGAGTCATCAACTTTCTTCGTAAGTCAAATTTCGGTACTCAGAGTCTAAAACTCTTCTTGTGAAAAGAATGCTAGACGGGTGCTGTTTTCTTCCACTCAGTAAGGCGCAGGAGACTAAATAAAAACCAACGGTATTCCAGGCCGGGTCCATCGTACATTTTGCAGGGGTGGATTCTACTATCGTGGATTTTGCAGTCCTGCAGGATAAACCTATTCATCCTTTGTACTTTAGAGACAACCATGGCTCAATAATCTAAAAGACTGCGACTCCTGGAATATGACCTACCCGTATCATAGCACATTTACGTCGTGATCTCCAATTCTCAGGTGAGGCTGTCGATCATCTTTATAAGCTGTAGCTGCGAATTTGTGCTAAAAAAGGGAACGGCGACATGTATAGCACCACTGGGCAACGGCCCGAAGATCGTTTTTTAGGAGTTCTAGCGCGATTTCACCATCTGCTGGTCCGTATAGGTAAAAAACATTCAAATCATCCACATGCATAACAGGCCTATCATTCCTAAATGTATCTAGTACATCCTTGACAAAATAGGCGTGGATCACGCAAACGGCCATGCATAACTTCACTCCTCTAGATTGTAGGGTTCAAGGCAGCATTTGACATCTCAATTTGTTGTGCGAGGACTCAGATAATAACATATTAAAGTTAGAATTTACCATAAGTTTTGCATGCCGAATTCACTGGATTCATCCTCCCTAGGGATGGTGTTCGTAGTCTTTGATCCTTTTGAAAGGAGCCTTACTGGTTGGAATGACGCTGACGCTGCAGCCCGCAATCCAGGGGGTATGTTTTTTAGCTTGTAAGTGATAAAGCCATTAGCTGGGCACGGTAAGTAGGCTATCCGGGAAACGAAAACAGCAGTATCCCAATAGTTACAAACTAGTAAATAAGAACAAAGTTGTCAGCAGGTAAAAGTGTACGTGCGTGTTCTTATTCTTATTCAAAGTTGTGTCAAAGCGTATTATAACTGATAAAAACAAAACGCACTTAAATGTCACTAGAATACTCCCCCTCCTAGGAGAACAGAGTTCAAAAAAAAATTATTGTTAATAGAAGGAAAATGTGGGAGTGTTATGCATATTGTACAAGTTGGTAACGGTCGGGAAAACGGACATGACGACCGCTGCACGTAAGGGGAGGAGTCTGTGGGATAAGGGAAGACGCAGGGTTACTGGGCGTAAATGGAGTCTGGGAAATAGCAAGTGGCAATGTGCCAAGTGGAGGTTGTTCGGTTGGAGAAGTTGGAAGAGGCTCGGTATAAGCCGCCTTCAAGCGATCGATTGAGACCACGTCAGTGCGGCCTCCACGGTCAATTGTAAAATGCTTGTCCGTTCGAGATAGTACTCGAAATGGGCCGTCATAGGGCTGTTGTAGTGGCCGGCGAACGTTATCTACGAGGACAAATACAAAAGAACATGTTAGTAAGTTCGGGTCGACGTACGACTTACTTGTTGAAGGACGTGGAGGAGTGGCTCGAAGATGAGTCATGGCTTGGCACAATCTTTGCACATAATCGCTGGGATCCAAGTCGCCTGAGCTTTGAGAGTACCCGAATAAATCTCCAGGAATCCGTAGGGTGGTACCGTAGACAAGTTCGGCAGCGGAACATTCCAATTCGGGCTTGAGTGCGGTACGGATACCGAGCATGACCAAAGGCAGATGCTCGCTCCAATGGGAAGGGTTGTCATGAGCTCGGAGCGAGGCTTTTAGTTGCCGGTGGAAACGCTCGACTAAGCCGTTGGATGAGGGGTGGTATGCTGTCGTGCGTATGCGAGAACATCCGAGGAGGTTGGTAAGGCTGTTAAAAAGTCTAGACTCGAATTGTTGACCTCGATCGGTGGTAATAGTTGAGGGGACACCATAATGAGAGATTCAGTGTTCCAAAAAAGCATAAGCAACGGAATCTGCAGTTACGTTAGGTATGGGAGTTGCAATGGGCCAACGAGTAAATCGGTCAATCGCAGTAAGTAAGTAGTTGCAACCACGAGATGTTGGAAAGGGACCTACCAGATCAATATCGACATGTGAAAAACGTGCGTCGGGTGCGAGAAATGTGCCAATGGGGGCTTTGTTGTGCCGTCCGACTTTGGCCTTCTGACAGGCCAAACAGGAATGGGTCCACTGGCGGATATCAGTGTTCATGCTTGGTCAAACGAACCGCTCGCTGACGAGGCGCTGGGTAGTGCGGATGCCAGGGTGAGCTAAATTGTGCAACGCGGCAAAAACATCTCGTCTCATCTCGCTTGGCACTACGGGTCGGGAGGCACCGCGCGAAACGTCACACAAGATTGTACCGGGGGTGGTGGAAAGAGGAATGGCTTCGAGTTGAAGACTAGTGTGTTGAAGGCTCTCACTGAAAGTCGGCTGATTTTGCAGTTCTGCCATGCGCTCCAAATCGATGGAAGGGCGGGTGATGGCATTAATGCCAGGCCGAGAAAGACAGTCAGCAACTTGATTATAAAGGCCCTTAAGAAATCGAATGTCGGTGGTATACTGAGAAATAAAATCGAGATGGCGGGCCTCGCGGGGTGAATACTTGTCAGAAGTAGAGAGGGCATAAGTAAGAGGCTTGTGGTCAGTATAAATACAAAAATCTCGGCCCTCAATATAATTACGAAAATGCTTAATGGCTAAATAAATTGCAATACGTTCTCTACCAAAAGTGCTATAGCGAGTTTGTGGGGGTGTCAATTTGGCAGAGTAGAAAGCCAAGGGCTGGGTGCCAGTGGGCGTCTGTTGCTGGAGGGCAGCACCTATAGCGAAATTAGAGGCGTCGGCCACAATGGAAAGTGGGGCATCAGGTATAGGGTGAACAAGGACAGTTGTATCCGCAAGAGCCTTCCTCGCACGATTGAAAGCCTCTACAGCTGTGTCAGGAAAAGAAAACTCACGGTTGTTCCCGCGTAAAAGGTTAGTAAGTGGTAGCATTAATTGAGCACGATGAGGGATGAAACGTCGATAGAAATTGACAAGGCCTATAAAACGCCGCAGTTGTTGAAAAGAAGTGGGAGTAAGGAAATCGCGAATAGCTGAAACTTTGGCGTCTATGGGATGACAACCAGAAGCATCTACGCGATTTCCTAGGAAAAACAGCGACTGTGCGCCAAAAACGCATTTAGAAACATTAATGAAAACGCCAAATTGGCTCAATCGTTCAAAAAGGAGACGCAAATGTTGTAGGTGCTCCTGTTCACTGGAACTTGCTACCAGAACATCGTCGACGTAGACAAAAACGAACGGTAGATCGCGGAGGGCTTCGTTGATGAAACGTTGAAAAGTTTGAGCGGAGTTGCGTAGCCCAAAAGGCATCCTGACAAACTCGAACAGACTGAACGGTGTTGTAATCGCCGTTTTGGGAAGGTCTTCTGGAGCAACGGGTATCTGACGGAAAGCTTTGACTAAGTCAATTTTGGAAAATATTGTTGCTCCAACCAGGCTAGCTGAAAAGTCGTAGAGATGGGGAAGTGGATACCTGTCAGGCACAGTGGAGGTGTTTAACCGTCGGCATGGGCGCCAGTCAACGAGAGACTTTTTGCACACCATATGTAGAGGTGCAGCCCATGGACTAGTGGAAGGCCTAACTATGCCTAGCTCCATCATGTGACTGAATTCAGCCTTGGCTAGGGCTAACTTATCGGTGGCTAAACGACGGGGACGGCTAAACACGGGTGGTCCAGTAGTTGAAATATAATGTGCAACAGAATGCTTGATAGGTTGGTTAAATTGTGAAGGTCGTGTGATAGATGGAAATTCCGAAAGTAAACGATGATAGGGAGAAGATGAAGGAATTGTTGAAATGCGTGGATTGGGTGATGAAAGGGTACGAGTGGAACAATTACAATGTAAAGATGTCTTAAGATCAAATAACTTATGGGACTTAATGTCAACGAGGAGACCGAAAAAGGATATAAAATCAGCGCCGAGAATGGCAGTATGGACATCAGCGATAGTAAATAGCCGACGAAATGAACGTCTTAGACCCAAATCTAGTGTTAGGGATCGTTGACCAAAAGTTTTAATAGAAGTATTGTTAGCTGCTTGGAGGAAAAATGAAGAGTTTGGTGACTTACAGTGAGTCAAGGTGGGTGGGATTAGACTGATCTCCGCACCAGTATCCACGAGAAAATTACGACAGGAAGTCCTGTCATAGATGTGGAGTAAGCGACTGGGAGAGGATGTGCCGACCACGTTCGTCACCCTTACCGGTCGGCAGGGGAGTTTTCCGACGCGGGTGTTTTATACTTGCACAGAGAGTGGCAGTGATGGGCGTTAGAACCATAATTGTGATGATACCAACAGAAACCAGCAACTGTAGGTTTGTTTGGAGTGGGAGATCTCGGGCGGCGAGAAATTGCAGGACTACGAGGGTTATAGACACGAGTGGCCCGGAGCTGGGAAACTTCGAGAGTGAGGGCATCCAGGCGTTTGACGACATCCTCGATTGTGGGGGCAGTTGTGCTTCGACTAGCGACGTTAACCGTAACAGGAGGCTGGTAGTACTCGAGTATACGGTCAGCAGTCTCCTCGAGCATCTGAACAGTCGATGAAGGAATGTTAGGCGTAAGGATGGCTTGCACAGAAGGAGGCAACCGTTGGAGGAAAAGTTGCTTGAACATGGTGGCATCCAGCTTTTGTCCGTCTGCCAACTGCTCCAAACGCCTAAGAAGCTGCGTAGGCTTCCTGTCACCGGGGTCCTCCTCAGAAGTTAAACGTTGGAGACGTTTTTGCGTTGAGAGGGAAATGCGGGAAATGAGAGCCTCCTTTAGGGCAGTATAAGGGGCTTCTGTGGGCGGGCAATCTATGACGTCGCGCAGGTCGGTGGCGATATCCATTGGGAGTGCTGCCACAACGTAGTGAAATTTCGTATCCTCTCGTGTGATCTGACGGAGAGCGAATCTTGACTCTGCAGTGCGCAGCCACAACGCGATGTCACCGATCCACACAGAGGGCAGGTCAAAGGTGTGAATGCCGGCTATCGGCTGGCTGGTAGAATCGTTGGACATAATTAGCCGAGGTCGGTCAGAGGTCAGATAAATGGGGTAGATGACTGGCGCGTTGACAGTGAGATTGAAGGGTAGCGCTCGTATTGAATGAAAGGGTGAGACGGTGTGAATAGCAAATAAGAGATAGATGAATAATCTGATCGATAAAAATTAGAGTGAGGATTAATCCGAATGGAAATAGTTATGCACAGAAATTAAACAGAAGGAGCTATGAACAATACAGGGTCACCCGTGTAAGTGATAAAGCCATTAGTTGGGCACGGTAAGTAGGCTATCCGGGAAACAAAATAGCAGTATCCCAACAGTTACAAACTAGTAAATAAGAACAAAGTCGTCAGCAGGTAAAAGTGCACGTGCGTGTTCTTTGTCTTACTCAAAGTTGTGCCAAAGAGTATTGTACATGATTAAAACAAAACGGACTTAAATGTCACTACAAGCTTACGACGAACAAATGTTCCCAAGTACGGTCGCACGAATGTCCCAAAAATTTTCGAGAACAACTGTACATCCATGCACCCTGGTCTGGTGCGCAGTCACAATTCCATGGAAAAGAATGGAGCCTAAAATCTATCGCTGTACGGGGCCAGCTAATCTCAGTTCAGTTTATTGAGGGAAATAGGCGTAAGCCTTTGAGTACCCTATTTGCAAAGAAAAATTGTGTGTGGTGTACTTAGAAACCATGTGGGCTGAAACAATTTAAATGGGCCCATAAGCGTATGACAAACAAGGGGTAAGTCCCAAGGGTTGAGCTCGATCTCTCATCGCTCTTGTTCACTGTTGAACATAAGTATGTCAGGTGTCCTCTTAAAACAGTCTGTTTTGGTGGAATCACGACATTTGCGAGGAGGGCATTCCATGGTTGGATCACTCTGACAAAGGAGGTGCAACTCCGCACATCCAGCTTAGTCTGCTGAGTGTGCAAGCTTAACGGGTGCACCGGATGTTGCTCGTCATATAATTTCGAAGATGCCCTAAAAGGACAAGCTACAGTCCAACTCCTTTACCATGCGGAATGCTTGCGAGAAATCCTCGCATAGTTACCTACATCTCAAAAGGAAGCGTCTTAGATGTGTTATATGGGAGGCGTAAGGAAGGAAGTTTTGACCCCTAACTGTTTTCGTGGCTCTCATTTGGACTCTTTAGAGACTACTTTGACTTCGGGCTGTCAATGGTCTCCAGGCTTGGATGTCGTATTCCGGGTGTGGCTGCACGAATGTTCCGAATGTCTTTGAGAAAACGTCTTCGTCAAAATCCATGAATGCACACCTGGCGACATATAGAAAGGACATCGTGCTATTTGCCTCTCTTTAGCAGTGAATGGATGATTTTAGGGAGTTAGTTCCCAGCATTTCGAGGTCCTTTTGGTCTTCCGCTTCTTTGAAACTGCGTCGCCAAGAAAGCAGTTTCCTGCGCTGTCGGACCTGGCTGTGTTGCCTAGGCGAAGTATGCCAAACTGGCCAACGTTCAACCGCATGATCCAACAGTTTGACCACTTTTCCAACCGATTTAATTTCATCTGCAGTCTGTCTTCGTCGGCAGGACCCCGAATTACACCCCACATCTTCATGTCGTCGGCAAACAGTGCTGCTTCGCAGTCTAAAGTACTTACGCAATCGTCCACGTCAATGAGAACAAAGCTGGTCCCTGTACTAAACCCTGGGGAATGCCACTCTCAACTACAGCAGGATTTGAGTGCTCTTGACCGATGCACACCAATTAGTACCGACCCACATAGAAGCTTTCGATCCATTTAAAGAAGGTGCCTCTGGTTCCTATTTTTTCAGCTAGTGTAATAGTCTGAGGTGCGACACGGTGTCGAACGCCTCCTGTAAGTCAACAAGGACGTTGTGGACCACATGCCTGTCTTGAGAGAACCGATCCAGCTCGGGAGACATTACAGCAAGTTTTTCGTGCGGGATCTTCCTTTCCGGAACCCTTGTTGACGGTTTGATAGCAAATCGTGGACTACCAGAAATTTCAGCAATTCACTCTTCATGAACCTCTCCATAACTTTGCTGAGAATGCATGTCAGGCTTACGGGTCTGTAATTTTTCGTCGACGCCCTGCTACCTCCTCTGTACAGAGTAGTAATGTGCACCAGCTTCCAGTCGATAGGAAGTGTTCCAGTGTCCAATGACGTTTAAAGGATCATCAACGGATGTACATAAAGCTCACTGGCAAGTTATTTGAGAAGCTTGGGTGGAATCTCGTCTGGTCCTGGCGACTTCGATTCGTTTAATGTCTCTAATTCTCTTCGGGCAATATCTTCTGGGAAGAATATATTGCTTATGCTTGGAGTCGGCAGTTTTTCTGTGGACTGAGGAGAGAAGCTTGCCTCATTTGTGTGGACGAATTGAAAAAGGTGTGAAAAATACGAAGCTCTGTCCCTACTATCGGTAATCTCAACGCCATAGCTATTATTTATAAATGGGATTTGATGTTTATACTTGGGCGTCTGTTTTGGTCTGCCGTCGCTGCACGGACCGCAGATTTTTCTACAAATAAATAAACAAAGAAATTGTATATACACGCATACATATACACATACAACCCCTTGTTTTTAATTGGCTACTTAATCCACTGTTATTGCTTATCTCCTGCAGCGATGATCTTCGCGGTTCTTGATATCATTTCATTTTGACCCGCAGTGGTCTGCGGACCCTCACGGCGGAATCCTCTGTATTCGCCGTCTACTAGTAGTTTGGTCAGTCTGCAAAGATATCTCATGATCGTATCTCCCTTGCCTCCTCCTCGGCAGGACTTGATACGGAATGTGACCGACCGCGTCTGAGTTCCTCTCGTCTCGCCAATTTGACGCTGATAGCCTCACCCGATGAATGAATTCTGCCTTGACGTTGTCCGTATCGAACCCTTTATACACTACCACATTAAGTCTAGCCCTGTCTGACCCATGTACTTATCTTTTTATGTAAAAATATATGTGAGGGTTTCCACTTAACCTGCCGTTAAATTCCAGGAGGATTTTTCTCAAAGTCCAGAAGTCGAGTGTTCGGGAATGAGACGGTAAATAGAGACTTCATACTTTCCGGTGTAAAGTGCTTACGCAATTTCGATTTGAATGTCCACAACTTAAGCGATGACCTAAGTTCTCGTGGAAGATTATTCCAAAGGAAGGCATATTTGGAAGCAAAAAGAGGTAGCGCTTATATGTAATGCAAAGGGGCGGCGGAATCACCATGGAGGATTTGCGCGTGGCGTAAGGCCGATCTCTCGGAATGAGAGTGTCAATGCTCGGAAGATAGGGACTAAAGTTAATGCGAAAAAGGAAGCAAAGGCCATATTCGAATCTTCTAATCCATAAAAACCTGATGTTCGCCGGCTGACACCTCTGGGTATATAAAGTATGGAATACAGCTTGGGCGAGCAGTTTCCGAGTGAAAACCCTCTGAAAATGTTTGATTTTATTACGGTTACAGGTGTTAACTAAACCAAAGAAACGGCAGCAGTACTATAGGACAGAAAGAACAAACATTTCATAAAGTCTTGACTTCATTTCCGGAGGAAAAATATTATGCGATA